TATGAGCGTCCTAGAGATCCTCAAGTAAGAGATGCGCGAACTTCGAGCATTTGCAAGAACATGGCGACCTCCACAAACATGTGACACATAATGGAGATCGCCATATTCTTGCAAATGCTCGAAGTTCGCGCATCTCTTACAACTACCGAGGCAATGTTCTTGAAGTATTTCTTATTGCAAACAGTTACAAAGTAACTATCAATTCTGCATCATATTTATATGTGATCAATTGTATGATTATAATTATAATGTTATAAATATTTAATATTTAAGATAAAAAATTAATATTAATTGGCATAATCTAGGACCAGCCGATTTTGTACAACAATTGAGAAATGCCTTAGAAAGCGATTACGTTTCTCAAAATCTTCATCATTGGATTGACCTAATTTTTGGATATAAACAAAGAGGATTTGAAGCTGATAAGGCTGACAATGGTAATTCGATTTTTTGTATTTTTTTACGATATATATACAATAGAAACAAAAAAAATTACAATACTAATCTAAAGTATCATTAAAATTTATAGAGCATGATTGTTTTCAAACGATATATATTTGCTTTCTTTGCAGTATTTTTCCATTTGTGTTATGAAGGAGCAGTAGATTTAGATACTATACGAGATATAAATGATAGACATGGTCTCGAAGTGCAAATAATGGAGTTTGGGCAGATACCAAAACAAGTTTTCACTTTACCTCATCCCAAACGTTTGACATCAGCTCCAAATTTATTATACAGCGAAACATTATTGACTTCACCAGACTCAATAACTTCAGGTATTGTGTCTTACATACTTCTTTCTTAGCTATTTATACAAATGCGCATGTATACATGGATATAGTATAGCATATTAAATATTATTGTAATTTTCCAGGTAGTGCATGTGTAAACGAAAAATCAATTAATTTTACTGAATTAGTAATATTTCAAGCACATAAAGACTGTGTCACCAGTATTGTACAAAAAAATAAAACGAGTAACGAAATTATATCAGTAGGGCAAGATGGAATGCTTAAATTGTATAACATAAGTGAGAAGAAATTGACACGTAGTGTTACCTTGTCCTCGTTGTCACTGTCATCTTGTATCTCATACTATACGCTATCGCAACGAAACATTCTTGTAGCGGGATCATGGGACAATACTTTGTAATATAACAGTGATCAAATTCTATAATTATAATAAAAATATAAAGTTATTTATACATAAATTATATGTACATTTTCATGGATTTTTTTTAGATAAAATGTTAAATATATAAATTTTATGTGATACAAATTTAAAGTTATACACATCTTCTATATATATACGAAATGATTCGAAAGTCTTACAAATTTTAACCATACTATATTTTTTTTAAGGATATTTTACGATATCGAATTTGGCAGAGTAATTGATGTTCTGCAAGGACATGAAGATGCTGTATCGTGTTTAGCATGGAGTTCTACTCATCAAGTGATTATATCTGGATCATGGGATTGCACTGCAAAAGTTTGGCATGGATACACTTCTGGATCAAAAATTAAACCTACGGAATGCTTTATCGCACAATTAGATCATGATTCTAAAGTAATTTGTATTAATATATCGAGGTAAGATATATCACTTATATGTGTTATAATAAGTACGTAACAAAGATAAGAACTTTACTTCTTAAATAACAAATTAATTTCTGCTAATAATATACACGATATATTACTGTTTCATACTTATAAATCAAATAAATTCTTATACTAATTATGTAGAGACGATACTATGTTAGTATCTGGTACAGAAGATGGCGAATTATGTTTATGGAGCATGAATAATTACAATTTACAATCAACTATTAAAGGTAAATATATTTTCCTTTATTTTCATGCTGTGCTTAAAATTACTAAAAATGGCCATGTTAAATAGTTGCAATATAATACGTGAATAAGAAATTGTGATGAGATATAAGTTCATACAAATCTTTACACAATTCTATATTTTTTTATATCTTTACGTCTATTTAATTGTAGGTTAAAAATATGTTTAGTATTCCTACGGTAGATTTACTGATTTTATAAGAAATCTCTATATTTATAAAAAATAATATTTAATGTATATCGCTACGTGCAAACATTAATTTAATTCTTATTGCTTTTTAGTTATATTTTATGATTAAAAATACTTTTTAATTATAAAATGAAATAATAATGGTGAATTCGATCACTCACACTACACTGGATCAGTGCATATTAAAAGCTGCTCTATATAAAATATCTCAATGCAGTGATACAATATAATCATGCAGTGATACATATAACTTTGACAATGAAATGATAGACATATATTTTGTTAAATATCATTGACAATATCATTAGTAAATAATTAACCGTTTAAAATATTTATGTACCTTTACATTTAACTTTACTAATGTCATGTAAAGCAGCTTTTAGTATGAGAGTATGCATTGATCTAGTGTAGTGCAAGTGACCGAATTCGCTATAAGGTTCTATTACCTATTAATATCTGTTGTCATTTATTGTATAAAGGTCACACATGCAGAGTAAACGCTGTAACTTTCGATAAACAATGCAGCAGTGTGATATCATGTGCAGAAGACAAAGTTTTAAATATAATCGATGTCCAAACAAGTACTCAGATATATTCAATCAGCTTAGAAAGCGAACCATTGACGCTAACATGGATGGAAATGTTCTTGCTAATAGGCGATAATGATGGAAATCTTAATATCTGGAGTCATCAGGAGGCTGTATTCATTCCGCAAATACATTGCCACGATGGTAAATTTTTGTTGCTATTACTATTATATACTACTATAGTACGACATGTATATATATATATATTTACTTAAAATAATTTATAGTAAGATTTTGATATTTGAATTTATTTTATATTAACTCTCTCTCTCTCTCTCTCTCTCTCTCTCTCCTTTTTCTATTATAGAGGCTACATTCGATAAGGATACTTTCAGTGCTTCTATTCTTGTTTCATGTATAATAAATGATAGAGATAGAACAATGATTATAAGCACTTAAAGTGCACAAGCATCCAAACCGAACGCAGCTAGCCACAATAGAATTTACACAATACATTAATTGTTGACAATTTATAACATACATCTTTTCAGGACCACTTTGCGCCTTAGCTGTAACTGCAGATAATAATTTGATAATAACAGGTGGAAAAGATAAAAAAGTCATCGTATGGAAATGTCATAATCACTGACACAGTATTACAAATAATCACTATCAATGTATAAGAAAAATTATAAATATGTAAATATACAGGGTAGGCCATTTTAATCAATACATGCGAATATTCTCTTTCGAGATATTCGCGTGTATTGATTAAAATGGTCTATCCTGTATATAGATGTAGAGAGGCCTAACATAATATTTTTATTACTTATTATATATAACAGGATATTCTGGAACTGTATATAATATAAAGTCTCATATTTAAAGTAATCTGAAGAAAAAAGGTTAAAAGATTTACAAGCATACGATGCTCATACAAAAATATCTACAATGGTACTGTATGCTCTTAAATTGATTCTTTTTTTTTAAATTAACTCATATTAGATTTTTAATATATATCACAAACTTTTGAATTTTTTAAATATGTGCATATTTTACATTCAATAAACAGAAAAAAAGATTCTTTCCTGTAAACTATGTATTTTTAAACTTCTGAGATTCTTTTTTCTTTAATGATAAGATTTATATTTCTTACATAAATATACACACTTATACATTGAATGTAAAAAAAATACAGTTGAATGTAATGAATATTCTTTTAATAGAATACCAATTTTTATATTAGTATCAAAATTTTTATGTAAATTATATATAAATACAAGATTTCAGGTCCCATGAGACAAACATAAAGGTAGATCTCATTTAAAAAATCAATTTTTATTAAGGAGCCTGTATCCTCTAATACATTTTAAGGAGTTATGTGTTTTTGTTCGGACTAACTCTAAAGTATCTAATAGATTGTGCAATAACAGCAGCAGTATTGATATTTTGTTAGTTTTTTACAAAAACAAAATCAAAGGATATGAAACAGTATTGTCAGATATCTCATGTGCAATCAGATGTGTAGCTCCTTAAAAATGTATCGATACGAGTTTCTTAACAAAAGTTAATTTTTTTTATAAGAATCTATCATTCCCTGAAATTTGTCCTAGTGAATCTAAAATACTTTGTATAATACTTTGTATACGTATAGTGACATGTAATGTTACATTCCACTTTTTGTTTACAAAACGTATTTCTTACCTATGTGTGAATCAGTCTTCCTATCTTTAAAGATAAATAATTTTATATTGTGATAAGCTGTTATATCATTGTGTATAATACAGGATTATTAACTCATAAACGTTTAGTTGCAAATAGGCATTACTTTAAATTAAGAGTATAAAAATTTGTGTGTGTGTGCGCGTGCGACGCACGCGCGCGCACACACATAAATATATCCACTCTCATACATACATAGATTAATATATATTTATTTCACATGAAAAGAAATTAAAATAGAAAGTTATATCTGTATACAGAATATACCGTTTTGTGTAACTGCTGTGAAAAAAAATTAAGATTTGATTTAAAAAAAAAAAAATTGGCCATTATGAATTATATAATATTATTCACAAAAAATTAATACCCGAACTTTATACGGCCCAATACTATCTTATATTAATTTTACAAGAATCTCTTAAAGTGACTAGCGTGTATGCCAGAAATATGACAATAAATGCTATGTAAAAATACTGAAGTACAATGATTCATTATTATATTCATGTAGATAACAATGACTAGTATTCTACAAAACATTGCGACGAATCAAACACAAACCTCGAACTTTCGTTTCCACATATGATATTTTGACACTTTGTTCATTGATTTACATATAAAAACTTTCTGTGCAGAATTGAATTATGTATAAAAATGTCGAAATAATTGAAATATTTACAGAAATATAACGGTGTATGATTACGTCATAACTATAAAAAACTGTAATATATTGAATGTAGGGGTATAACTTGTAGTCTTTATCAATTAAAATAATTTGTGGAAGCTTGTACTTTGGGAAGCTCTTAAATTTTTCTGGTTACTTTCATTTTTTGTATCTATTTTTACAATTATTTTAACGCTGAAAAGTGCTGTGTCTAATTCATTTTTATGTGCTTAAGTATTACTTATTTTATATGGCATTAAAGTAACTAATCAATAGTCACTTTCACAATTAAAGAGTTATATACAATTGAGATTATCAGATAGTAATGCTAAATTCATAATATAATGATTTTTATATTTCCAAATCTTATCGCAGTGAGAAATTTGAATATTCAATATAATAGTCGACGATGCATCACAACTGTTTCAATTGTTCATAGGTAATAAAAAATATAATATTCCACGGTCCCATCCTGAACCACGTCGGAATAAAACCTTTGTACAGTGCTAGAACTCCTTCATTTTTAATTGTCTACATAGAAAAAATATTTTCCTCGTAAATAGATATGCTAGACTGTGCGTGCGTGCATAATAAATATACAAATCATACATATGTACATAAATATAAATATATAAAATGACATATATAAATTGAATGAAGTTTTATACCTGAACCAAACAATCTATACTGCCACTGTAAATGTATGGTGAATGCTTCTTACTAGCTATGTGCACTCTCTTTTGATTCATCAATCGGGTCTAAAGAAAAAGACATCTTGAAAGATTATCTTGAAAGAAAAAAATATTTCAATTATGTTGTACAAATATATAATAATTTACTTACGCGAATTACGTCTATAGGCGTTGAAGCTACAGCACTTCCCATACTAGCTATAAAACTAGATCTAAAAAATGTAATCACATTTAAGTACACATTCACTCTATAATATATTTAAATTATGTTAATTTAATTAAAAGTACTTTTTAATTAATTTTTAATTATTATTTGTTAAATTTTAATTAATAACAATATTCTCGATTTATCTTAAAATTTTTAACTGCAATTTTACATTATAAAGCAAAATTAACCCTTATCCAGGCATTATAGAAAATTAAAAATATATAATACCATGTCTGTGCGATGATAGTCAATATTTTAACAGAGAAGAAGTATGTTTCCAAACATGAACAGAAATAAAAATATAGACAAAATAGGATCTTTTTACAGTAGAAAAATTAGGAAGTATTATATGATGAATAATTAGTAATCTTAGAAATTCCTAAAGCCTAAAATGCATAAATGCTAATCAAAAAAATCTTTGCAAAGTAGTTTACAATGTATAATCATCTGGACGATTATCTTAACGATTCTTGAACTAAACACAGAGTGCTGAACACAGCTTCCGTGTCAAGCCTCTCTAGTCATCTCAAAATCCGTCTATCGCATGTGTCCATAAGCATGACAATGTCAAAGGACCTGGAAATAAAATTTTAATTTTAAGAGAGTTTTACTCCTTTCCTGTGACAATGTGCGACATATGGAATACTTGGAAAATTGCGCAATTATTCTTTAAATTGTAAACACTAAAAATGTAATGAAATTGAAATGTTAGTTCCAAAATAAAATATAATTACTTCTACATTAAAAGAGAGAGATAAATACTCGATTAATTATTTCAATATCAAAACATCTTGCTAAATATATTGGTGCAAGCAGCTAATAAATTAAGTTATTGCTCCGTTTCAAGTGCATTTTAATCACCTCGCTTAATGAATACCAGCAATTTGATTATTAATATTAAAAATTAACACTTGTATATATTTATATATTCTTAAAAATAACGATAAGTAAATTAAAAAGTATGTTGTTTAGATGTGCAAGTTACAAAAAAAAACAAAAGTATATATGGTATATAAAAAACACCTCTATGTAAGCTTTATTAACATCCAAGCGATGTGATTAATATAATCCAGAAAAGTTTTAAGTAGTTAGTTATTAAAGTATACGGTATTTAAATGTAGGTAAGCGAAAACAAAATAAATTATGTTTATATTTGAGATAAATTATTTCTAAAATATTGACAAAAATCTACACTCAATAATAAATACATAATACATACTCTTGTGGAAGATGCATTTTAGAATAAAAATTAATTTGTATGACAAATTTTGTAATAATAATTACAAGATTTGTCATACAAATCCTCAAAATTTTTATCTCTTTCCTTCTTATTCCCAATACTCTCTTTTTTTATATTTTATGAATATCATAATTGAATTATTTTTTAGATATTCAGACTTAATCTCTCATATCGCAAACTGCGTTAAAAAAATGCTCTACATGAATTTAACAGAAACTTCATTCCATTTTAATATACAATGTATTATATTACTGTTAAATAGCTATACGTAACTAATCAAATTTTTCTACACATACATAAGGCGAATTTTGGCGTGCTTCTGGTATAACAACCAAAAGCAACCGCGGTTGAAGCTATCTTCGTTTTCAGGGATCAGAAGACAAAGACAGCCCCAACCGCGGTTGCTTTTGGTTGCTATACCAGAAGCACGCCAAAAATCGCCTAAAATAGCAGTTCACAATTATTAATTCTGTGTCTCAAGTTTCAGATATAAAAAATCATATATATAGATACTGTACATTAACAATACTTTAAAAGAAAAAAGTTTCAGCTGTCCGGATAAGGGTTAATCGATCCTAAATTAATAGTATAATAAAGAACATACATATTGATATAAATATAGGTATGATTTAAACATATTGATAATGACTCTTTCATTTCTGTAATAAATAACTTTTTGTTAAAAAGCATATGTACTACCATAGTTATCATAAATTTGAAAATGGTCTACCATTACAATTAGGAAATATATTTTAAATATTTTATGTAGATGTTATATCTACATTTAGTGATGAAAAAAAAACTTACACAAAATGATTACTAACGCTATTTCCCAATAAACTCATACATTTAATCTTGGTATAGTCATATATAGGTAATTCTACAGCTGCAATAACAGCTGCTCGTTGAGCAGTCGGTCCAACACCCTGCATAAAAAAATAAAATCTTTGTACATCTTTATGTATACATTCTGTGCATATACATATATCTATATGTATGTGTATATATACAGGGTATCTCACACTACCGCATTTTCTCTTAAGGATGTATTCTTGAGATAATTTTAAGCAAGGTTGGGAAGTAATGCGTTACTTGTAACGACGTTACATTTTCGTTACTTTTTTGGGTAACGATTTGGTAACGCCGTTGCTTTTTTTATTAGTAACAAAAAAGTAACGACGTTACATTTTTTTTAGTAACGAATAACGAAATTGACTCCATTACTCTTGTATCGTTACTTTTTTATAAGTCACGGTCGTTACAGACAATAAAGATTGTAGGTAATAAATAAACAAAAAATTTTCTGCCTATTTTTGTTTCATTCACTATCCTTGCTTTATGGTTGTTCTACAATGCTCATGTGTATAATTAAAAATTAACTATGTACAAATAGGTTTCAGAAACAGAAGCAACTTTCTTTAAAATATATTGCATGTTAAGGGAGTGGGTACATATCATGCCTGACCGCGCGAAATTTCAGCTCTGTGATTAGTGAACTTTAATTGCGATTAATTTAAAAACTGTTATAGCCTCAACATTTTTATATTAGGATTTTCGTCTTGAAATTATCTCAAAAATATAGTACGTCCTTAAGAGGAAATGCGATAGTTGTGAGACACCCTGTGTGTATGGGGGGGGGGGTATGCGTGTGTGTATGCTGTATATGTATATGTATTTGTATGGTAACATATTGAAATTGATTGTATTACCCTCCAAAGTCCACGAACACCTTCATATCTATATACATCTTGAAAGCAAGTAAACAGAGATATATTTCTTTCATTGCCAGTAACTTGCATACGAACTTTTACTACATCAGTAGGATTGGCAATCGCACTGGATATAGCTCCAGCTAATGCTGCACACACAATATTTATTGTGACTAAATCCCCTGTTGCCCAAGTATCAATTGCAGCTTTTTTGAGTGAATAGTAAGTCCCAAACTTTATAGTTCCATATGTCGCTTGTCGTAAAATTGCAGAACTAATCCTAGACAAAACAAATTAACTATTAATTATTTAATTATACTAATTAATTATTAAAAAAAGTGGTAATGTTTAAAATTTTTAAAGTAATTCCAATGATAGTGGTATTGTGATAGTATAAATTTTTCACCTGAAAAAGATACAAAACATTTCTTAAATATTTCTTTATATTTGAATGAAATATCTTTGTCATATTTAAAACAATATCATTATTAACAATTTTAAATAAAATAAAATTTAATATTAAACAATATATTACTTTTCACAATAAAATACTTTCTCTTACCCAGAATATAAACCCTTTATTCCTTCTTGTTTAGATATTTGTATTAAAGCATCAGTCATGCCAGAATATTTTAAACGTGCAAACTTTTCATCATATTTCTGGCCTTGTACTTGCAAGCGTGTTTTTGTCGTGTCTAAAGGAAAAGTACCTGGAATAAAAGAAATAAAAATTATTTACTATTACGGCACATGTAGTATTGAGTTATTTAAAATATGATTTCAAACAATAAGGCAAGAATATTTTTTAATTATTTTTCATTCACTTACACAACTCTGCAACAATCGAAGCTAAACCTCCGTATACAAAAGGTCTCCAATCCTTCCAATTTTTTTCTCCCATCACCAGTTTTGATCTTATTAAAAGGCAAAGACAGCAATATAAATGTGATTTAATAAAGAATGTAAATGTTACAGAAAAACAATCGACATAAATGTAAAATATTTTACTTTTTCTTTTCTTCTCATATATATCAATATTCAAGTAAATTCTTAATATAATAAAGAGACAATATGTTGATAAAATTTCTCTCTCTCGCATATATTTTAGGTTAGTCTCAATATCACATCATTTCCAATTTCCAATGAAGATTCTTCTTCTTCTTCTTATTTGTTGGCTTCTACCTCGATAAAGCCCAAGACACAATGCGAGGGAATA